GGACTGGTTGCCAACATACATAATAGATTTATCTATTTGCATTAATTCTAGGATTTTCCATCTGAAATATAGCATATTTTTAAAGTTTCTGATCCAAAGCTCTGGGAAAAATGAATTTGCTAATGACAGTACATTATGAGTGGACTATGTATTCCAATGTAGTTCTTTCATTCTTCGCCCTTTCATAGTGTGGTTAAATTGTAGAGGTAAATGAGGTTCAGGACACTTAGATCAGAAAGCAACACTTTATTAGTGGCCCCATGAGGGATAATTTACAAAGTCTGAGCCCTGAGCACAGTAGGGTTCATACTTTTATACATAAGCAAGTTTTGGATACATTAAGGCAAGGGAGTTGGTGCAATAATACTAGAAGATGCATTCTACATTTCTTATATGAATATAAGCTTTTCAACCACCTAGGAACTCTTAGCTCATACAGCTTAGGGACTTGTACTGCCTAAGCCTAAAGGGAGGCTGTTCTGTTCCCCATTGTTTCTTTTCTCATCTCTTCCACTGTGATTATCTATTAGGTACAAATTAGCTACTGTAAGCCTCTATACTTAAATGGCAGTAAGCAGAGCTGTTGTATGTCAATGTGTAAATCCACAGCCTGTCAGCTCTTAAACTGCTAACATTCCCATTTTGCTTCACCACAAATTTATTAATTTGTAGTATCATTAGAGTCATTATCATTGTTTCTGTTCCATTTGGACCTTATTTGTATCTTGATATTTTGGTTGATTTTAAGTATGTGTTTAATTTTTGCTTACGTTAAACACCATGATTCTAAAAGTCAGAGCATTCCACTGCTGTCATGTATTTTTAAAAAATAGAATCAATAAAAGATAAAATAAAAGAGGTAGTTAGAAAAATGTCACTTCATCTTACAGTCCATTCCAATTCCAGATGTCTTTCTCTTCTTTCCATCACATTCCTGCCCATCCTGTCAATACAATCTTTTTGTTGCTGGTTTATCCTTGGATTTCCTTTATAAAAAATGTGCATATACAAGTATATTTTCTTATTTACATTTTCTAACAGTAAGATCAAATGGTGTATAGATACATGAAAATCACTCCATATCAGTTCATTGAAAACTTCCTCAATATTTTTGACAGGTATCTGCTCCATTATGTGGATTTACACAAGTGTATATCCTTGCTACCTCACATTAAGGCCTGCTCCATATATAAGTATACTCAGGTGCTCAAGAAAGAGTGTCCTTCTAATCAAAGCAAAATTCTTTTGTTTAGACTTATTATTCGATGGCCATTTCAGTGTTTGAGAAGTTTCAAAACAGTTGCATTTCATTCAAGTCCATTCTGTCTCATTCACAGGTTGGGCTACCCAGTGTGCTATGTCCTGCACACTTCATTGCAGGAAGTTCTCAGAAGATCCAAAGTTAGTTGGCACAATACCTGCACCTCCATTGCCCAATCTAGGAATAGGTTACTTATTGCTAACCCAAGGAAAAGATGACAAATGTTTATTAGGCACCAATAATGGCAAATCAGCTCTCTAAGGCAGAATACAGACTACCATAAGATCCTGAGTTAGTAGTCTGCAACAGTGTTCCCTGGGCAAGTGTACCAGACCGGGTCTATATATTTGCACTTTGAGGGTATAGAAAGAATAAGACACATTTAGAATACATAACTGCCATAAACTGATAGAAAGTGCTCCTTAACACCTGTACTTGCCTAGGTATGGCTCCCAGGTTTACAAGCTTTCCTTGTAAATTTTAAAAATTTCCCTTCTCCAAGGGGTTAGCAAAGGGAACCATCAGGCACTTATTTGTACAGTACATGGCCAGCTAATGCTTCTGGTAATAAATGTGATATCTGGAGGAGCGACAACAATAAATTGTTCCTAGTACCCCTGACCAGTTTGAGAAGATGATCAGTGGATGTGCCCTTTATCTGTAATCTTAAGTGCCATGGGCATGTTAACACAGAATTGTTTGCAGGCTGCACATGCCTGGCACTCATGCAGGCACTAATGTCCTCAGTGCCTCAGGCAGACAATTCAACTCAACCAATAAAATAGAAGTATTTTCAGCCTCCAAGACTTTTTTTCAGCAGGTCATTAGTTCTATTATTTAATCCAGCCCCTGTTGGATTATATTTCAGATGGAAAATCCACAATATGTCCTCAAGTATATATTGTGAGAGTACTATGTGTCATGACTTGCAAAATGAGTTACTTGGTCATTCTCCGTTACTGTGGTGTGCCATTCACAGAACACAGTCAGACCAGCTCCTTAACAATGGCCCTTTCATTGGTTCTATTTGCTGGGGAAGGTTGGAAGTAAGCCTGTAATGTGTCCACACAGGTCAAAGCATATTTGTCCCCTTCTGATAACGGGAGAGGGCCCATGTAGTCCATCTGACATCATTGCAGAGGATCATTTAGTTTGATATGCCCCTTGGAGGCATCTAGTCATTGCAAGTAACACAGAGAGTAGGCAAGGGGGTTCTGGTATTCCACAACATCAGACATTTTATGGGCAATCCCTAAGCATGTCCCAACTGCCCACAATCTTTCATCCTGCGTGCTTTAATCTACAGTGTAACCAAGCAGCAATTTCTTCTGCCAAGGCTTCCTCCAGCCATCTTATTTTCACCAGTTCATCAGCTCACCTGGAAATTGCAGAGAGCACTGGGCAGTCATATGACACATTGTGACAGCTTTGTTATGCACATAACTCCAAATGTCTCCCATAACTGATTTCCCTACAATGACCTGAGTTTAATCATCCTCTGTGCCTTTGAGACAGCCACATAGTAAGTTCTCTGAATATGTCCCAACTGTCCAAGCAGATAGTTAATGGTTCATTTTTGTGAGTAGTAACCTTCTACCCTGCTCACAACTCAGCCCATTGGATGCTGTGTGCTTGTCCTTCATCATTCTCAGAGTCTCAGTCACACAGGAATTGAAAGAAATAATGAAGTCAGTGGGCTTCCTCATGTGGGATTCAGGATGTGATTACTTAAGAGAAGTAAGGAGGTGCTTGAACATGACAGAAGGCCCAGCCGTCCTAAAAGCCCACTGCACTTGTGCCATGTTCCAGGGACTGAAGGGGACCCCTCACTCCACAGAGGATGCTGCTTTTGGTATAATTATAAGGCTAGAAAACCTTCCTCAGAACCTCTCCAAGTTCCCCCTGGAAGAGACCTTGCTTCACAAAGGCCTCTTGGGGGATGCTTGGTCACGTGGTCTTACTTCCTCCCTCTGAGGGACATTTGCTTGTGTGATAGAATGTAATCTCCTATGAGGAGGCCACAAGGAGACCATGCAACTGTCTCAGCTTTCCTGCTTCCTTATGTTATTTCCATTGCTCTTATTCAGAGATCTGCTCAGTTCTTTAATTATTTATTCATTTCTAACACATTCCCACCCTTAATTTCAACTTCAACACAGAAAAGATTCTTGAAGTTACAAATTATTGCAATTTGCTTAAATTTAGTCCAACATGTGAGAAGGTGGCACTAGCAAGGTGGGATGTCGACACAATCTGGTAAAATGCACAAGGGGTTACGAAAATGGCCAAATACTATGTAGGCAAGTGGTGTGCAGTTGTTTTCCTACAAAATTGTTGAGAAGGTGATTGAAAAAATAGATCTGTTATACCATCAAAAATTCAACAAGTACTTATTTATTTTCAAGTATATGAGGGGCCTTCTGCGTACAAACTTCTTTTGGGTGTCTACAGACATTAACTCAACACATGACAACTTATGACAAAGATTTAAACTGGGTGGACAGGGAAGTCTTTTTACTCTTCTTTTATTATTTTTTTTTACCTCACTTCTGACCCTTTCCTTATGTACAAATAGCTATAATTATATGCCAACATTTCCTTATTGAGGGTTTCATATTGCATTGCTGGACAAATGTGTTGGGGAGATGTAATGGGCTACCAGAGCTTTTGCCTGCCCCCTCATTGTCCTTCACCAGACCATCCCAATGTGCAGTGTTCAGGGCATTCCTTAGAGAGACCAGCAAGCCCTTGGGGATTGACTAAGCAACAGGAATTCTGACAGGCTGTGGGTATTATTTTCAGTGAGATTTTTTATCTTTATATAAAATGTCTAGTTTTATTTCAGCAGAACCAGCCCAGACTGATAGAAAGACTATAGCAGAAGTGATATTTGCATGATTATGGCACTTTGTTTATTATATTAAAATCCTATTTTTGCTAGGAAATAAATCAGTGACTTTATTCTTGGGTAGTTACTATGAGTAAGAAGCTTGAAGATCTCAGGGACATGGGGTGTCCAGTCCTGCAGAGATAAAACAGAGTGGACAGGTCTTCTCTGTTTCAGTGAGTCCCTTCTGCACTAGTTCCTCAAATATTATCCTTTATTTTGAGAGCCTTAGAAATTGAGAAATATGGTGAGGACATTGTCAACTAGGGCCCTCCTGAAGGGCATCTCATGTATTTAAACAGTTCATACCTGATACTTATAGGCTCAGTACTTAGAACTAAAGATCAGGTGATGAAGAAGACCATGTCCCTCAGAGCAAGAGGTGGTAAAAAGAAGCAGATAGGCATTTTCAATTTCACAATTATATATATATTTTAAAAAGCTCTATGGTAGAGTGACAACATGGCACAATGAAAGCAGAGAGGAGGGACGCTCCATCCTATCTCAGGATGTTAGATAGGAGACATCATGGAATATCACAGGTTAACAAGTAAAGATAAGAGGTGAGGAAGCTGGGCTAATGATGAAGCCTCTGTGTATCTGTAAAGGTCCACAGTCACGAGAGCATGCCCAGCTTGTAGAATTACTAGGAGTTCATTCTGGCTGTAAGTCTGAAGCACTAGACACCTGGAAAGAATTACTAAAATGTTGGGCTGGGAATTTAGCTCAGTTGATACGGTACTTGCCTGGCATGCATAAGGCCATGGCTTCAATCCCCAGCAGCACAAAATAGTAATAATAATAATAATTATTATTATTATTCTATAAATGTTTATTAATGTGGGGCAGAATTTGTAGACCATTCAAGTCAAAATCCCAGGAGACTTCTATCTGAACATATACTGGGGAATAGATGTTAAAGGCCTTATTGAAAGGTCATAATGAAAAACAAAAATTCAGGATGTCTTGTGCTCTCTAGTTCCTTATTCTCAGGAGCAGACTTTTCTAGTTGAGCTGACTTTTGCTATTTCTAGTAGTATTAAACACTTTCCTCCTGTCCTGGGATTTCCCCAGTCATGTATTATTTCATTTTTAATTTTGCTAATTGAATTCATATTTGTTTGAATATAACAAATCCACAGGAAGTGTTAAGGCATGGAAGAAAATATAGTATAAAGTGAGTCATTCTGTCTTCTTTCACCTCAACTAGACAGGTGCCTTCCTATTGTGACATATATACTAGTTTATTTTGTATTTTCCACATGTAGGTTATACTATATGTACATACTCATTATTTTATAAATTATTCACACTTTCTATATTTTTTCACTTAAGATGACTCTTGGAGATGTTTTCCGACACATACAACTCCCACCCCCATCCTTTTAACAATCATTATAGGGTATTATTCTGAAAGCATGTCCAAAGATTTACCACATCAGTACCTGACAGAGGAACTTTCAGTTGCTTCCAGTCTTTTGTAATCATTATGATCCTGAAATAAGTCAACCACTACAAATATCATTTTCATTTGAGTGAAGAGATACATAAGAGAATGTCCTCTATGTGGAATTGCTAGATCAGAGGTATGTGCATTTTAAATTTTTATGTATATTATTAAACCTGTTCTTCACTACCCAATAAGAAGGCAAAACTATGTGCTTCACAGTTTTATTGTGCACACTTTTTTATTAGTAAATTTAAATTTTTTCTTATGTTTCTTTCCACTTAATGCAGTTGTTAGTCACTTCCCACAGAGCTCCTCGTATATGAATTTCAAATATTTTCTTCATATTGCTATTTAGCTTTTTGTTTTACTTAAAGTCTTCTCTAGAAATCATCTCATATTGTCTTAGTCATTTCTGATTTCTTCAATAAAGATTGTTTCTCTTAGAGTATGCTCTGATAATCTTTGATAATTGCTTTTTATTCTCGAACATCTTTTGAATGAAACTGAGAGGACACAGGTACCTTAAAAAGTAGCTATTCAAATAAAAGATGCCTCTTTTTATAGTTTCCTATCAGGAATCATCAGGTTATTCAAAAAGACTGCCTATGGCAGTCAACAGTGCACCAACTACTTTACCAGCCCCAGGGAGTACTGCAAGGAAAACACTGCCAACTCCAGTAAGGATCTGTGAAAATATCGAGCGACTGTTTCTTTTAGATGCTTCAATCTCTTCATTTAGTCGATTTATCTCTTTACTTAATGCCTCAGATTTTTCTTTAAATCCTTCAGTAAGAAATTCTTCTTGGACCTATAAGAGAGGAAGAGTCCACTTTTGAGAATCCCTGGTTATAAACCGCCAAGAGTTCTATATTTAAAAAATTCAACAGTTAAGCACCTGTGTCTATTTCTCTACCACCTTAGAAAATTCTTTGATATTTCCAGACCTTTGACCTGAAGAGAGGGAGTACCCAGGGCTTACACACTTGTGAGATTTCCTCACACTCACTGGAGGTGGAGAGGGATTTTATTCCAGCACAAAGGATGCTGTGTCGGGGAGAATGAGGTTGAATTCTGATTGATTCTTAGATCCACCAAGGTGGCATGGCTGTGATCCTCTAACAAGTCATGGGAAATCCTGCCCTTGTACAGAACACTGGTCATCAAGCTCCTGGTTGTGACACAGGTTTGTTGTACTCTACTTGTATAGAAGAATCAGGAAGACACAAAAGCAAGAGGAGCAATTTCTGATCTTTCACTGACCTTATCTTATATGAGGCCAAATCTGATGCATGCAGACCATAAGGATCTGTTCCAGGTCTCTTGGATGTTTGTGCCAGAATCCTCCTCAATTGGGGCACATAATTGCAACAAAGAATAATCCACCACCTGGGGGTTATTATCTGTACCCTCCAAAGTCTATCAATACACAGAGTATTGGAGTCTCCTAGATTTATAGGCTTCATTAGGATCCAGGTGCACTTGAGGTGTCTGTGTCAGTGAAACATTTACCTTCTGAGTGTCCCTTTGGAATGCTGTCTGTATCTAACATCTTATCCCATCCCATCCTGAGAAATCAGGCAGTGTCTGTCACATCCTGCCAGGCCCTGTAGAGACTCACCTTCAGCTTGTGCTCCAGCATCTTTTCCTGCTCTCTCAGAATGTTCTCCTTTTCTCTCTCCATCTTCTCCTTAAGCTGTTCCACATTTTCCCGGAAGCTTCTCTCTTGGGCCTCCATCTTTTCCTGCTGTTCCTTCTGCTGCTGTTTTAGCAGCTCCTGCTCCTTCTCGGCTGCCTCCTTCTTGGCCCGCTCAGCTGCTCCACAAAGATTTTAGAAGAGAGAAGAAACAAAAGGCTTGCATTCTAGCCTCCTAGGTTAGCACACCAAGGTGATTTCAGAAAAGGCAAGAGGGAAATCTCTCAATTTGCCCAATATCCATGATGCAAGAGTATATATTTGCAAATTTGTTGGAAAACTCATTTTCTGGACTCTCCTCTTGCTTTCAGATTTAGCAAGAAGGAGCTTCTGGTTTCAGGAAGGTTTTCCTGTCCAGCCAGCCAAGGTCTGTGCAGGAACCTCCCCACCCTCTGAGAGCTATGACCTCCCCTGTACCTGCTATGGCCTTCTCTCCCTTAGTGAGGGCTTCATCTGACTGCAGGATGGATTTTTCTATGACAGACTGTGACTGTAGGAAGCTCTGGAGGACCTCCATTGCCTGGGGAACAAAGAAGAAACCAAAACACTTTAGGGATCAAAGCTCTGTCTTCAGATGAGGAAGGTATGATTCAATAGATCACAAAACTGACTTTGAATTTTGCATCTTTTGCAGTAGGATCCTGTTGTGATTCCTTTCCTTCTGTGGATACAACAGAAGTCCATGCTCTTTGGTGAGACATGAAAACCCCATATCAGCCTTCTCTCCCATGAATGCTACTCATCAGCCACCCCAGGTTTCAGACCCAGTCAGACGTAGCAGCAGTTCTACAAATACACACCTCCTCCATTTTTGTAGTATGTGCATATCATTTTTCTGCATCTGTTCTAGCCTTTCTTATCTAGGGTCATGTCTACAGTTTCCTTGACTTGTATCTCCCCCCTCCTGTACCACAAAGCTTTCCTAGACTGCTTCTGAGTGTTTTTTCAGCTTTGTTGAGATTAACAAAATGGTGTACATTGAAAGTGTATAATATGATGTTTTGATATATGTCTGCATTATTAAATGTTTCCTACATCACATGATTACATTTTCCACTGTCATGAGAATGATGACATCTATTCTCTTAGTAACATTCAGGTACACAAGAGATTAGTTTAACTACAGTAATAGTGGTCCATCAGCTGTGCTGCACTTACTCATCTATAGCTGCATGTTTATATATTGACCAGTATCTCCCCTCCATGTACTCTCAGGTCTGGCTAATCACCATTCTCCTCTAACTCTACTCTATGTTAATATGAGCTGAACAGTGTTTTGCCCTTATTTGGGTGGTTGGTTTTTATGGTGCCAATGACCTTTAACCACACAGCATTTGTCTTTCTATGTCTGGCTCATTTCCTTTAGGGAAATATTCTTAGGGTAATCCATGTTGTCATTGGTAGAGCTTTTTTTTTTAAGACTGAATAATATTTTGTCACATATATGATATATATATAATTGTATTACTTAGTAATCACAACTGCATGCTACTGGCATAAACACAGACACAAAGACCAGTGGAACAGAATAGAGAGCCAGGAAAGAAAGAAATTGGACCATTGTCTTACTCCTTGTATGAAAATGAACTAAAATGCATTAAAGTTTTAAACATAAGACCTAAAACTATAAAACTCCTAGAAGAAAACCTGGTGGTGGGGGGGAACCTTTGACACGTGCCATCTCAGTGATTTCTTGGATTTAAAATTAAAAGACATAGGCAACAAAACCATAAATAAATAAGTAGGAAATATCAAACAAAAGTTTCTTCACCACCCACAAACGATCAACAAAATGAAAAATACAATGTAAAGAATGAGAGAAAATATTTGCAAACCATAAGGAGTCAATTTCAAAGTATATTAAAAATTCTATGACTCAACAGTTTAAAAAAATATATGTACCAGGGATCCAAGATGGTGGGCCAGAGAGAGGCAGTATACTGTGTCAATCCATGACATGGGACTCAAGGAGTGAGAATACTGCTTCTTTGCAAGCAATATTCCTGCCCCTGCACAAGAAGCACCATGCCTATACAGGGCTCCATGCCTCAGCGTCAAAGTCTCCCAACTACTCGCCCATACAAGATTTCCCTCACTCAGTATCCAAGAGAGACCATTGGCAGCAGCAGCACCTGAGAAGAACTGACCCAAGAAGAAATCACGAATGCTGTTCCCATGCAGGACACCTGGCAACTTCCCATCCCACTACCAGCGTGGGGCTCCCCCACCATCATCTTGGAACTCTTCCACCACAGAGATAGTCCCCTACACGCAGTATCCTGCCTGCACCCGAGAACTTCACACAGGCTCTGAAGTCAGCCATACTGCATGCCACAGAGCTCTTCTCTGAACTCATCATCCAGTGCCATCATCCGGTTCCCCTCACCTGATCTGACACCCCATCATTGAAAGCAGGCACCTTCATCTTGGGCCACCTTCATCACCATCTTCAGTGGGAGCAACTCCCAGGTTGGAACTCCAGCTGGCCAGGTACCCCTCTCCCCAGCAGCCGCTAAGCCAGCACAGTGACACCCTGGTTACCTTCACCATCCTGAGGGTAGGGATACCAGCTAATAACAGATGACCCCACCTATTGGATGAGAAGGGAAGCAGGAAAGATACTGATCTCCAACCAAAAAAAAAAATATATGTATTTCTTTCTTCAAGTTTTTTTTTCCCTCTCCCTTTCTTCTCCCTCACATCCCCAACATATGTGAAATGAAATACTTTGCATGAATCAGAATTTTGAGGACTGGAACATCTGAAGAGTATATTATAGTTGTGTTGTATATTCTTTATTTTTTTCATTGTTTTCATTTGTTTCTTTTATCCCACCAAAAAGACCAAATTTAAGAATTATCAGGATAGAGGAAGGCATAGAATTCCAAACCAAAGGAATGAGCAACCTATTAATAAAATAATATCAGAAAATTTTCTAAACATGAAGAATGAATTGGAAAACCAAATTCAGGATGCTTAAAGGACACCAAGTGTACGAAATCACAACAGATCCACACCAACGCACATTACAATGAAAATGCCTAACATACAGAATAAGAAGACAATATTAAAAGCCATGAGAGAAATGATTCAGATTCCATATAGGAGGAAACCAATTAGATTATGTGCAGATTTTTCAACTCAGACCCTGAAAGCTAGAAGATCCTGGAACAACATATATCAAGCTCTGAAAGAAAATGGACGCCAACCAAGAATCTTATATCGACCAAAATTAAGCTTTAGATTTGATGATGAAATAAAAACTTTCCATCATAAGCAAAAGTTAAAAGAATTTACAACTAGAAAGCCTACACTACAGAACATCTTCAGCAAAATCTTCCATCAAAAGGAAACAAAAAACAATAATGAAAATTAGCAAAGGGAGGTATTACACTAAAGGAAATACTAATCAAAGGAGAAACCAAGTCAAGTTAAATACCAAAAATAAACAAAAATAGCTGGACAAATCATGTCTCAGTATTAACTCAGAATGCTAATGGCCTAAACACATCAATCAAAAGACATAGACTGGCAGATTGGATTTAAAAAAAGAAGACCCAACAATATGCTGCCTCCAAGAGACTCATCTCATAAAAAAAGAAAAGACATCAACAGACTGAAGGTGAAAGGTTGGGAAAAATTTTACCACTCACGTGGTCTGCAGAAGCAAGCAGCAGTTTTCAACTTTATATCAAATAAAGAAAACTCCAAGCTAAAATTAATCAAAAAGTATAAAGAAAGATATTTAATACTGCTTAAGGGAACCATTCATCAATAAGACATAGCAATAATAAATTTATATGTCCCCCCAAAATGGAGCATCTACGTTCATCATACAAATTCTTCTCAAGTTCAAGAGACAAATAGACCACAACACAATAATTCTGAGTGACTTTAACACACCTCTTTTACCACTGGATAGATTATCCAAACAAAAGCTGAACAAAAAGAAACTATAGAACTCAATGACACAATCAATAACTTAAACTTAACTGATGTATATAGAAAATTTCATCCTTCAATGAGCGAATACACTTTCTTCTCAGCAGCACATGATCCTTCTCTAAAATAGACTATATATTATGCCACAAAGAAACTCCTAGCAAATATAAAAAAGGAGATACTACCCTGCATTCTATCAGATCACAATGGAATGAAATTAGAAATCAATGACAAAATAAGAAATAAAAGCTGCTCCAACCCTAGAGACTAAATAATATGCTTCCGAATGAACAATGGTTTGTAATAGATATCCAGGAGGAGACTAAAAAATTCTTAGAGGTGAATGAAAACATAGATACAACATATCAAAATCTCTGGGACAATATGAAGACCATACTAAAAGAAAAGCTCATTGCATGAAGTTCATTCCATAAAGGAAGAAAAATTCAACAAATAAATGACTTAACATTACATTTCAAAGCCCTAAAAAAAGAAGAACAAATCAACACCCAAAGCAGTAGAAGACAGGAAATAATTAAGATCAGAATTCAATGAAATTGAAAACAATAGAATCAATTTTAAAAATTGACAAAACAAAAAGTTGGTTCTCTGAAAAAATAAATAAAGTTGACAAACACTTAGCCATGCTAACAAAGGAAAGAGAAAACTCAATGTAATTACTAATATATGTGATGAAAAAGGAAATATCACACAGACACCACAGAAATAAGAAGATAATTAGAAATTATTATGAAAATTTGTATTCCAGTAAAATAGGAAATATCAAAGGCATTGAGAAATTTCTAGAGTCATATGATTTGCCCAAATTGGATCAAGATGATATACACAATATAAATAGGTCTATTTCAAGTGATGGACTAGAAGACACCATCAGAAGCCTATCAACCAAGAAAAGTCCAGGACCAGATGGATACATAGCCGAGTTCTTCAAGACCTTTAAAGAAAAACTAATACCAATACTCTTGAATTTATTTCAGGAAATAGAAAGAGGGAATACCTCCAAACTCATTCTATGAGGCCAATATCACCCTGATTCCAAAATAGGCAAAGACCCATCAAAGAAGGAAAACTTCAGATCAATATTTCTAATGAAAATAGATGCAAAATTTCTCAATAAAATTCTGACAAATCAAATAAAAAACATATCAAAAAGTTAGTGCACCATAATCAAGTGGGATTTATCCCAGGGATGCAAGGTTGATTCAACATAAGGAAATCAATAAATGTAATCCATCACATCAATAGACTTAAAGATAAGAACCATATGATCATCTCAACAGATAAAGAAAAAGCATCCAACAAAATATAGCACCCATTCATGTTCAAAACACTAGAAAAACTAGGGATAACAGGAAATATCTCAACATTGTAAAAGCTATCTATGCTAAGCCCCAAGCAAATATCATTCTAAATGGAGAAAAATTGAAAACATTCCCTCTAAAAACAGGAAAAAGACAGGGATGCTGTCTGATATTTAACAGAGTTCTTAAAAAACTGACCAGAGCAATTAGAAAGACTAAAGAAATTAAAGGGATACATATAGGAAAAGAAGAACTCAAATTAGCACTATTTGCCAATGATATGATTCTATACCTAGAAGATTCAAAAATTCTATCAGAAAACTTCTAAAACTAGTAAATGAATTCAGCAAAGTAGCAGGATAAAAACTCAACACCCATAAATCAAAGGCATTTCTGTACATCAGTGACAAAGACTCTGAAACAGAAACAAGGAAAAGTACCTCATTTACAATAGCCTCCAAAAAAAATACTTGGGAATCAGCCTCACAAAAGAGATGAAAGACCTTTACAACCAAAATTACAGAACATTAAATAAAAAAATTAAAGAAGACCTTAGAAGATAGAAAGATCGCCCTTGTTCTTGGATAGGTAGAATTAATATTGTTGAAATGACCATACTACCAAAAGCATCATACAGATTTAGTGCAATTCCAATCAAAATCCCAATGACATTCCTCATAGAAATAGAAAAAGCCATCATGAAATTCATCTGGAAAAATAAGAGACCCAGAATAGCTAAAGAAATCCTTTGCAAGAAGAGTGAAGCAGGTGACATCACTATACCAGACCTTAAACTATACTACAGAGCAAGACTAACAAAAACAGCATGGTATTGGCACCAAAATAGACTTGTAGACCAATGGTACAAAATAGAGGACACATAGACTAACTCACATAATTACAATTATCTTATATTAGAAAAAGGTGCCAAAAACATACATTGGAGAAAAGATAGCCTCTTCAACAACTGGCGCTGGGAAAACTGGAAATCCATATGTAACAAAATGAAATTAAACCCCTATCTCTCACCATGCACAAAACTCAACTCAAAGTGGATCAAGTACCTAGAAATTAAACCAGAGACCCTGCATCTAATAGAAAAAAAATGTACACCCACATCTCCATCATATTGAATTAGGCCCCTACTCCTTAATAAGAGTCCTATTACAGAAGAATTAAAATCAAGAATTAATAATGGGATGGATTCAAACAAAAAAGCTTCTTTTCAGCAAAAGAAACAATCAGTGAGGTGAATACAGAGCCTACAGCTTGGGAGTAAATTTTTACTGCTTAAACATCAGATAGAGCACTAAACTCTAGGGTATATAAAGAACTGAAAAAGCTAAACACACAAAAAACCCAAATAACCCAATCAATAAAGGGGCAAAGGAACTGAACAGACACTTCTCAGAAGATGATATACAATCAATTAACAAACATGTGAAAAAATGCCATTCTCTGTCTTTGTTTCACAAATAGTGCTGTGAAAAAATGTTCAAGTCTCTAGCAATTAGAGAAATGCAAATCAAAGCTACTTAAGATTTCATCTCACTCCAGTCAGAATGGCAGCTGTCAAGAATACAAACAACAGTAAGTGTTGGCAAGGATGTGGGGAAAAAGGCACACTCATACATTGCCGGTGGGACTGAAAAATGGTGCAGCCAATATGGAAAGCAGTATGGAGATTCCTTGGAAAACAGGGAATGGAACCACCATTTGACCCAGCTATCCCACTTCTCGGTTTATACCCAAAGGACTTAAAAACAGCATACTACAGGGACATAGCCACATCAATGTTTATAGCAGCACAATTCATAATAACTAAACTGTGGAACCAATCTATATGCCTTTCAGTAGATAAATGGATAAAGAAAATGTGGTATATATACATAATGGAATATTACTCAGCAATAAAAGAGAATAAAATCATGACATTTGTATGCAAATGGATGATGTTGAAGAATATAATGCTAAGTGAAGTTAGCCAAACCCAAAAAAACAAATGCCAAATGTTCTCTCTGATATAAGGAGTTTGATTCATAGTGGCGTTGGGAGTGGGAGCAAGGGAGGATTAGATGAACTCTAGATAGGGTAAAGGGGTGGGAGTGGAAAGGAGTGGGCATGGGGGTGGGAAAGATGGTGGAATGAGATGGATATCATTACCCTAAATTCATGTATGAAAACACGAATGGTGTGAATGTACTTTGTATACAACCAGAGATATGGAAAATTGTGCTCTATATGTGTAATATGAACTGTAATGCATTCTGCTATTATATATAACAAATTAAAATAAAAAATTAAATTAAAAAATACATAACCTGATTAAAAAATGGGGAAAGGATCTGAATGGATGTTTTTCAAAAGAAGAAATTAAAACATCATACAGATAATTATAAAACTGCTCAACATCACTAATACCAGTAAAACACAAATGAAAACCACAAAGAGATCCCAGCCCATCTGTGAGGATGGCTATTATCAATAAGACAAAGGAGAACAGAAGTTGCTGAGGATGTGGAGAAAAGGGAGCCTTGTAGAACAGCTGAGGGGATGTGAAGTGCTGCAGCCATCATGGAAAACAGCAGGAGGATTTTCAAAAGAAGAAAAGAATCCTGAGCTTCTAAAGGCTTCCCTATGAGCTCTGTCACTGGCTGGCTGTGTGATCTTCAGCCACTTATTAGATCCTCATGCATTACAATTCTTTACTGCATAAATATAGAAGAAAGTAGTACCTAGTTTCCATGAGTCTCAGAATTAAATTGGTAATGCAAGAAAATAACCTGGAACTGTACCTGGTGTAGGAAGTGAACGTTCAATGTCTGTTAACAACTGCTCCTCATCATCCTCAGTGTTACTATCAGCACACACCAGTTACCATCAACATATAGTATTAATCTACCATATCTAATTAAATATTATCTTACCCATTTGAAGTATGATACACTTCATAAAAACAAGGTTATTTCCTTTACATTATACCTACTTACTTGGCACAAATATATATACACACACACACACACACACACACACACACACACATACTTTTGGAAAAATAAAAGAAATGGTTAGTTTTACCTGAATTCCTAGTTGCAAATTCTCTCTTGGAAGAACTATTTTCAGTATATTTAAGAGTGTCTAAAGAATAGTGCATATAAAATGTTATAAATGTCAATATATTGCCATTCTCTGTCTTTGTTTCACAAATAGTGCTGTGAGCATAGAGTTTGAAATGTAGCAACACAGACCCTGTGACCACACTCTGTAGGTCATCCCTATATCCTTACTCCTCACCTTCACTCCTTTCCTGGGCACTAGCTTGTAGTCAAGTTCCACCTTCTTCTTTGCTTCTAAGTAGAGCCTGTGGCCTCCAGGAACAGAGAATACTCCTCTTGAGATGCTTTGCATCAGGGCCTCTGAAAGCTGCTCCAGCAGAACCTGGCAGTATTTGACAGATGCCTCTTCATTCCGCAGCAAGAGAGCTTCCTTCTTTCTCTCTGTGGTTTCCTGGAAGGAAAATGTAGGGAAATAAAATAAGTTGTTAGAAGGAAGGTCCAGTGGGGATCCACTCAGAAGAAGCCTTCTGACAGCCTCAGAATGTCTAAGACCTGGAAACGAGTTGGGAGACATGCTTCAGTCGAAGGTTTGATCAATTCTCTGTGCAACTGAAAATTGCTAAAATGCCCCTGTAGTTAAGTTCTGTCTCTGTAAAACAATGGAGATGGAAGACATGATGTTGGTGGTTTATTTAGCTAAGATATTAACAGTGAGCCCAAACCCTAATAGTCACTAATAACAAGTAAATTTTTAGAAGGAGGGGAAGGAAGAGGATGATGAGGATAGTCACTAATAAAAAGTAAATTTGTGAGGGAATGTGGATTTCTGTGGTTGAAATTATATCCATGGCAAACAATTCTGAAGGAATGAATTGAGTGTATTCTGAACAGAATTTTGAGACCTTCATAAATTCTTTCAGTGAGGGTTTGAATGTGTGAGGATACAGAGATTGATTTATTGATTTATTGACTGTTTGCTGGTTCTTGTAAAGTAAAATCCAGTGGAATTTTCTCTAAGATTTTTTATAATGCTGTGTCAGTTCCAGATCGACTGAAGGACAAACTTCCAGTGAAGGTGCAGAATTAGGCAGTCCCTGACAGTTTTCTCCCTTAGTGTCCACACCCTGCCTTGTCCCTGGGCCTGTGAATGTGATGAATATTAATCCTATGATTATGTTACATAGCACAGGTTAACTTTAAAAAATTGAGAGTACTCCATTGGGCATCACCTAATCACATAAACTTTTAAAAGCAATTTTCTCTGACTGTGGCATAGAGGAAATCAGAGAGACTACAGAAGCATTTCATTGCTTGAAAGTGGAGAGGCCTTCCCCAGAGCACCAACACGAGAACTAAGGTCAAGTCACTCCCTGTTTTCCATGGATGGTGGGTGCACTGAGCAGAGCAGTCATATACCCTGTGCAAAGATCTGACTATGAGCTAAGACATTCTTATTGTGTTAAGCTGCTAATCACTGGATAATTTGTCTTGCAGCAATACTAAATTAAGGGTGAACAGTATCCTGAAGAGCCCTGTTGCCCACAAAAATAAATAAATAAATAAATACATAAATACAAATAAATAAAACAGGTTCTTTCTATGATGAGAATGATGCAAACTCTGGAATCAAAAATATAGAGTCAAGTTTCATTCCAGAAGGAGAGGAATAAGGAAGGATGAATAAAAATTCAATTACAATAAGCTTCTTCTGGAACTCATGATTGTCGTCCTTGAAGGAGTGCTCCATGAAGACTGCGATGGCTTCCTTCTCACAAGCTGTGTGCACCTCCAGCAGCTCCTGGAGTGTGTCTGTGGGGAACTGCACCCGCTGGGCCATCTGCTCACTGTAGTGGTCGGCTGCCATTTGCAGGGCAGCTGAGTTCTCACGCTGGGCCAGAGTGATGACTGCATTCTCCAAGCAAGGAATGGTTCCTTTGTTGATGGCATTCACGTAAGTTTCCACCAGAGTCCCCAACCCTAAGTGACAGGGAATACGTGGGAAGTCTTACCCATCATTTTTACAGACTTTAAGCATTGTCTTTACAATAACAACAAACACTCTATTTGTCTCAATTTTCCTTCTGTACTTCTTTCTTGTTCTTCCTTGGTTATCTCCTCTCTGAATTAATCACAATTTAATAACACTGTTTTTCCTGTACATTCTTTCTTTTATAGTTCTCACATTCTCCTCATTAAGTAATTACTAATTGCAACCAAGAGGTTTTTAGTGTTTCCTAGAAAAATACTTTCTTTTTTAAATAAAGTAAAAGAGTCTATCATAAAGTAAATTACATAATTTGTGAGTCTTGATTTAAGATAAAAATGAAAGTTCCCTTGTAAAAAATATTATCAAAAATTTACAGAAAGCAACATAGAGTTTGGAAACAAACCTAGGCCCACATCGAGACTTCATTATTGCTTGGAACACATGCTCCTGAAACCAGTGCTATTTAAATTTGTTTCTCAAACACAATGAGCTGGCCTGGGACTCACGACCTGCTGATTCTTTTCTGACTAGTTTCAATTCATAAAATATCTTGTATATTCTCACAGGGAAATATTCAATCCTATGGGATTTTCCCTCTACATGCAGATTTCTCTCCTTAGTAGTAGCTTCTGATGAGTACACTTCCTTAAGGTGCTCATTTTGTGAGATGTGTTAGACTTCAACAAGTCCTCAGATATGAAAACTTTTAAGAAAAATGCATTTCTGTGTGTGGCACGAATGTCTGTTTCTCTACATTTCTTACAAAAGCAAACAGAATTACTGACAAACTCACAAAAGAATCACAGTGTTATCGTACATACTGAACCCCCCAGAGACACGTGCTGGGACAACAGAAACTCACGATTTCCAGTGACAATGATTCCCCCTCTCAGGGTCTTGGTCTTTGCATTGGTGAAGACATAGGAACAGAAGTTCTTTGATTGCACCTGAAAATTCTTTTCCAGCTGGTTTTGTGGAACCTTATCAATGTGGGATAACAGACTTCTGTCATTTGTAGGCCGGTCAAAGACAAAGCACTTTCGTTTTGGAAAGAAACATCTAATACTCTCTCTAGAGTTATTGGATTTTTGGATTTTGTCATTATTTCCTATAAAAAAGAACACTTATTCAGGAGACAAGCCTTCAGGCAAAGAGATTGAGATTTTCTCTATGAATCTTTGTCTAAATGTAACTCTCAAGCCTGTTGATCTTTTCTTTTTTAATTTCTTTTTTTTTTTTTGTAGTTGTAGATGGACAGCATGACTTTATTTTTTATTTTATTTTTATGTGGTGCTGAGGTTTGAACCCAGTGCCTCACACGTGCAAGACAAGCACTATGCCACTGAGCTGTAGCCCCAGCCCAAGCCTGTTTATCTTTATTCAATCATAGAAAGCAGTGTTATGCTAACGTAAACATCCATTTTTTTTTATCAGAGCTCAGAGTCAAGGAAGTATTTTTGGAGAGAAAGAAGAGATACTCATCTCAAATGGAGAAACTTGTAAATGGTCTCCTTAACCCTTGTATAGAGGTAAACCCACTGTAAAGTATTTATTAAAAATTTGAAATGACTGATTAATCACAAAAATTGTCAGAAAGACTTTTCTGATATTGTAGTCCCATGTCATAAAGAAGATGTAGGCTCCTCACTAAAGTAATGCTAGAAATAAGGACAGATGTTGCTGGGAGGACAGATGATACCCAGAACTGTATAGAAAAAATGTTTCTCAATCAAAGCCCCAAGTCCACACATCATAATTTCAGCAGAAAACTGCATTAAAGTGAATTTCAATTTAATTTGTACTTCTTGATGTTGGATTATTTTGGACTTGAGTTTGTCTCACAGAGATTCTGTGGCATAAATCAGCTGTTCAAATAGATGTTAATTTAAAGAATGAATACACATGAGTACTGATAAGTACCAGTACTTATCTACTCTGTTAAACATACTCCATGTGATTACATTTGTAATAGTAGCATGATACCATGTAAGTCTGTGGGATAAATAAGGTGATGTTGTCAAAAAGGTAAAATGAAAGGTTATACAATATTCCTGGAATTATGTGTTGCTTCCCCCTCTACCCATGAATGATTCATTATACAAACATCTTTTCTCTGAAGGATGTAACTATCTATTTTAGTATAATGAGTGAAATATTTTTAAAAGTAATTCCTTATATTTCCTGTGATTCTAGGTTTACTCATATCTAGTGTGATAAACTCTTTTCCTCAAAATACAAAAAGCAGTAACACTTCATAAGTAACAAATATATGAGCCTTAAAAGTGGTAGCATTGACTGTAATCCTCATTATTTTCATTGTACTATTGTTCTAACATACATGGGTGCAACAATGAGGCCTAAATTTCCTTAGTGAATTTAAATTTGGGCCTCTGAAGATTTTTATAAAATAAACATAAAAATCATGGTCATTTGTCAATCGTCAATCATCATTAGCAAGGACCTCAATCCATTTGAAAATAAACAGGTATATCAAGCACTAAAAGACAGGGCTTAGTTAATCCCACTTCTTTATTGAACCTCCCCACACCAAGGCCACCCTCGGATACCTGAAATCAGCTTCAAAGCATTCTCCAGGTACTCATCTTCTGTGATGGGGTGTTCATCCAACTTTAGTTCCAGTGTGAAATCTCGAACAGTCCAAACAAAGTCTGGAAAGAAACTTACAAACTCAGAGGAGTCCTCGACTTCATCTGGTGTGGGGTCAGATTTTGCCCTGATTAGTTTTGTTAGTTCAGTCACATAGCTGGGATCCTAGCTAAGGAATGAGAAGCACCACAATTTCCAGATCTCCCTTAGAAACAAGTTTTATAAATATTCTTTTCTCCTCATGTCCATTCTTTTTTAATATATATATATTTAGTTGTAGATGGACACAATACCTTTAATTTATTTATTTGTTTGTTTTTTTGCTTGTTTATTTATTTATTTATTTTTATGTGGTGCCCAGGATCAAACCCAGTGCCTCACACATGCTAGGCAAGCACTCTACCACTGAGCCACAACCCTGGCACCCCATGTCCATTCTTACTCAATCAAGACAATTAAGTTAGAAGAAAGAAGAAACAGCCCGAGTTGCCATTCTCTTAACCTCAATGAGACATAGTTGTTTGGTTCTTGGAAGGATACTGTAGATGCTCCAGGGCATGTTGGTCGATGGTGCCCATGCTGTTGTAGACAAATGTGCTGCTGAGAAGCACGGCCAGGGCAAAGATCCAGGAGTCATTCTTAGGGTCACCCTAGAAATCACATGGGAACAAAGAATTTAGTAGTCCACTCTTCATTCCATCATTTATGTAGTTTTCATTCCTTCTTTTTTTGTGTGCAGGGGAGGGTACTAGGGATTGAACTCAGGGGCACTCGACCACTGAGCCACATCCCCAGTCCTATTTTGAATTTTATTTAGAGACAGGGTCTTAGCACCTTGCTTTGGCTATGGCTGGCTTTGAACTCATTATCCTCCTGCCTCAGCCTCCCCAGTACTGGGATTACGGCACGCACCACTCCTCTTGGCTTCATTCCTTCTTTTAGCTATATTATTTCTGAATATAGGGGAAATAACAAAATTATAAAATAATGCTAAATTCAAATCTCTTTATTGATATTTATATTGGTCCCTCTCAGAATATTAGTTTGTTTAGCTATGAAGGCAAATGAAGGTCATTCTCAGTGTGCATAAAATAGTTTTAAAAATGCCTAGAACATAGTAGATGTCCCATAATATGTGGGCAATTGTTATTACAAATTTCATCATAATCATGGTTATACTAAGGATGCAAGTAGTATCCAATTAAGTTCAACATCCCTTTTTTCAACATCTGACAAAATGCCAGACCTGCATTTGATTTTTGTAGATACAAAGTTTCCATATGATAGTCCCTTCTCATAGGAATATCACCTTATGAAGGCAAAGATACGTGTAACAACATATAAACACAGCTCAAATGGTAATCTGTGAGGAGAGGGAACCAAAGTTATTTAAAAAGAAAAAGAAAATAGCAGAGTGGAGAGGCCCATGAATGTGAATAATTGCTCTGGGAGTTCAGAGCAAGCAATCATTAGCTGAGGTTTAAAGAGCTGATAGAATAGGGACTTGTAGAGATGCAGGGGTCCAGCAAGTGGAAGGACCAGCAGCAGCAAGTCTCACTGGTTAGAACACAAGTTTCTTTTATTTCCCTGAAGCAGTGAATGTGCAGGCCAGAGTGAAAAGAGGCCTGAAATGAGATAACAGCAAGACTTAAAAGGCTTTGAAATAGATCCAGATCCTGTTACAAGTTCTAACATCAGCCATCGGTTTTGCTGCCTTCGGGTTATGTTTTATTCTCTTGAAAATTGCAATTAGATGTAGAGAAAGTGTTTTATGCAAACTACAACATATTACAAATCAATGAGATTCAAACTAATATAAATTAGGAGAAAAGACTGATTGCAACTAATAATGTAAAGATGAGTTATCTAAAATTTTACCATTTGCTATATTTTTGTTGGATCTAACTCATGCTTTTAGATGGTGAAAATTTCATCCGGAGCTCAGAGACCTGGACCAAAATCTTAATGATAAAACTGAAGATTATTAAAATGGATTCCTTCACCAAAAGGCTATTTTCATGGCCTCTACCTTTAAAGGTACCAACCCATTGACCTCACAGGTGAGAGCTTTCTTCAGGAAGCTTTCCCTAACTCTCATGGCTGGATCAGTTTCCCACATTTTGCATTTCTTTCCTTCTACTGATTTCATTCCATATTTCTTGTCTCTACAACCAGGCTCTAAGTCTTTACCTTATTAAGTGATATATTTATAGTACTTAGCACAGAGCCCTGGACTTCAGCTATTTAATGTATACTTATTAAATTAAATTGCACATCTCAGTATTAAAAATAAAAGATCTGTCCTAATTTACCAAAGTAATGGTTTGGATACGGGGTGTTTCCCAAAAGCTTATGTGTGAAATAATGCAAGAAGGTTCAAAGGAAATATGATTGGGTTATCAAAGGCCTAATATTCTCTCTAATGTGCACATGCTGAGGTGAGGGAGGGCAGAGTGGACAGACATAACTTTTCTATGTTCCTGTATGAATACATGAGCAGTGTATCTCCACATCATGGACAAGCACAAAAATGGGAAGTTACACTCCATGTATATCTGGTATGTCCAAATACATTCTACTATCGTATATAACTAAAAATAGTAAATAACAATTAAAAAAATTAGAAGAACTGGGGCTGTAGCTCAGTGGTAAACACCCCTGGGTTTAGTCCCAGTATTGGAAAAACAACAGTTACAACAACATAAAGCCCGTTTATATTCTCTCATAGAGATAGAAAATATAGAGAGGTTCAGTTTATATTTCATGATACTAGTTTTTGATAATAAGATGTGTTGGAATTAACCTGATTTTTGAATATGAAGTTTTTGTGTTTTTGAAAGAAAATTGTTACTTCTTTAAAGAAAAAAAAAAGAAAGAAATGATTAGGTTATGAGAATCTTAACCAATCAGTGAATTAATCCCCTGATGGATAACTGAGTGGTAACTGAAGATGGGTAGGTTATGGTTGTAGGAGGTGGATCTGTGGGGGTGTGTCTTTGGTGTGCAAATCTGTATTTGAAGAGTGGAGTCTCTTTCTCTGTTTCCTGATCATCCTGTGAGCCACTTCCCTCTGCCGCATCTTGCACATGATGTTCTGCCTCACCTCCAGCTCTGAGGAATGGAGCTGGCTGTTGTGAGTGCTCAGATAAACTTTTCCTCCTAAAATTGTTGTTGTCAGGTATTTTTTTTCACAGCAGTAAAAAAAAAGAAAAAAAGAAAAAAAAACTGACTCCAACAACCAAGGTATTTTAAGTTGCTAGGGAAGTTTGAGGAAATGGAATTCAGCCTCTTTATTCATAATTGGATTGCAAGTACAGGAATATGACCTGGTAGTCAAACTGAGGTGACCAATTGAATGGCACATGAATAAAGAGTACAGCACATTCTCTGCCTCACCTTTTCCACATCGCCCAGGCCCTCAGTGTCCAGGAGGACCAGGGTGTGGTTTGGCTTGCTGGGGTGGGGCACACACCACATCCAGATGCCCTTGGTCTCAGCCCTCACTGTGGAGCCCAGGGGGAAGCCTGTGAGGAAAGAGGAGAAAACAACAGAGAGTGAAGCTGAGAGGAAAAGCTGCCAGGGGAATGTACAGTGTCGAGCAAGGATACTGTTTGCCAGTATTTCACAAGGATAAATAATCCACGTGTTGTCTATCTTTCTCAAAAAACACTTCATGCCCCAAATTCACATTATGCTTTCAAGTGCTTGAATTATTTCACCTTAAGAATTAGTGTAAAATCTATCATCCTGTGCTGTCATCCTATGTATTTTTACCTGACCAGGAAGAACTGCAGTGTCCTCTGGCTGCAGGCTGAGTTCAACCAGTTGGAAACCCCAGTGGGAGACCAGAAGGCAGGCATGTGTTCCTCCAGCTTCCATTGTGCTGGGCCACAGTGTCCCAGGGGCTTGTTCCTCTACCTCAGGTCACTATTCCTTTCCTGTAGGTCCATCCAATAGTTCTTCTCTTTGCCACACCATGGCATCTACTCTAAACTCACCTCCTCAGTGTACCAGAGGCCACTGCTACTGCCACTCACCAGGTTCTTTATCACACTTGCTGGATTCCTTTACTCAGAATCTGACCTTGGAAATAGTTCCTCCATTCAATGCTCAATTACCCTGTGAATGGGTGCTATGGGTTGGATCCAGAATGTCTCCAAAGACCCAAGTGTTTAAGCCTTGGCCCCCAGTTTGACACTACTGGGTGGAACCTTTAACAGGTGGGGCCTAGTGGGAGGACTTCACATTATTGGGTATGGGGGAAGGGGTGCCCTTGAAGGGGATTGTGGGGTCCTGATCTCTTCCTTCTTTCTTTTTGTCTTCTCTTTGGTTTGCCATGAGGTGAGCAGACTCTTGCTTTTCCATAAGCTTCTTGCCATGATATGTTCCCTAACCACAGGCCCAAAGCATCAGAGCAAATCAATCATGAAACCTCCACAACTGTGAGTCAACATTTTATCTCCATCAGTTTAATTATCTCAGGTATTTCTTATAGTGATGGAAAGAGAATAATTTGGTCAGCTGTGGCCTGCAAAGACCTGTATTGAAACATAAGCTTTTGCAGGTTTCCTCTCCCCCTTTCTCCCTCCCTATTGAGTTTTTTTTTTTTCTTTCTCCTATGAACTGTGCTTCATTGTCCCATCAGGAGGATATAAATGAAAGGAAAGCAGGAAAGACCTGTGACATCTGTTGACTTTCTTTACAAACAGTTAATTCCCACAGGAGAAAGGATTTGAAGACTACTCCTGGTCATATCAGTGGCTGATATGACCTGTCTAGCAGTCCAAGACTTTGACCACCTGCATACAGTAATGCTTCCTTCCTTCAACAGGGAGTAGAAAGGAAGTGACAAAAATTACTAGAGGATTGTTTCAGCATGACCTGGGCCTTCCCATTTCCACAGCCTCTGTGAGTTCCATAAATAGGTAGGAAGTCTACAGTTTCTTATATGATGGTAGCATCTGATTTCTGATTGGTATGGAGTAAGCCTAACTCCCAGCCTAACTTTAGAGAGGACAAAGTGTGGTGAGAAATCATCACTCTCAAGAATCCAAGGTATAATCAAAGGAAAATGAGTCATCCACAAAGAGGGAAATAATGGCCTGGTTTTGCTTTTGAACCTCAACTGGAAGTGAATCAATTTCTTTCTTTCATTATTATGACACTATGATGTGGAAGGTTGGAGAGTCACAGTTGAGATGTTTAAAGTACTTTGGAACCATAAATTCCCTTAGCAGAGCATTGGCAATGATCTCATTGTTGCCTAATGTTGTTGTTATTATAATTATTATTATTATTATTGTTGTTGTTGTTGTTGTTGTTGTTGTTGTTAGATGGACAGAATGCCTTTATTGTATTTATTTTATTTTTATGTGGTGCTGAGGATTGAACCCAATGCCTCACACATGCTAGGTAAGCGCCCTGTTGCTGAGCCACTGTCCCAATCCACTTGATGTTATCTTGAGTAGAAAATAAGAACAATACTGCTGAAACTTCCTTTCTATTGTCTGTCCCTTAGGGTCTCAACTCTTTCATCTCTCAAAATATGGCTTATTAATTTGTTTCTTACAGGTAAGAAAAAAAGTGTCTTTCCTTGATTGATGAAATCAGGACAACAATCCCATTTACAATAACTTAAAAAATAAAAATACTTTGGAGTAAATCTAACTGAGGAAGTAAAAGCCCTCTATAATGAAAACTATAGAATGAAAGAATATAAAAGAATGGGAAGACAAAATGCTTTGTTTAGGCCACAGTGGAAGAATGGCCAAAAGAGAAGAGGGGAGAAAAGCAGAGAGGGAAAATGGAAAGAAGGGAGAGAGGTAGAAAAACAGAACAAGGGAGGGGAGGAAGGAGGAGTGGAGGGAGAGACAGAAGGTTCAGGAGACCCCAGAGATTAGAAGACTGTCTTTTGTGAACAAGTTCACATAATAGGAAATATAAATTTCCAGGTGCTTGCCTGTATTTATAGTGAGATAGATAATGTATAACTATCCAGGTCATAGATCAGTAAGAGTTAAGAGTTTGTCTTGCGTTACCAATTATTTTCAGGATGTGTGGAAACCTAAGAAAAAGAATGTAAATGGCACAAAAGTATGAAGACATATATGGAAACTGCAATCCAGAAATTCCACTTCTGGATATAAGGCACAGAAGAAGTTTTTGTACATGTGCACACCAGGATAGAAATATAAGAATATTCATAACTACTATATTCATTAAAGATAAAACCTAGAAATAACACCACTGCTCATCAACAACTAATGGATAAATAAACTGGTACAAGCATACTCTAAAGTACTGAAAACAAGTAAATTACAGATATGTGTGACAGAGGATGCTCATAAACTTCTTGTTGAGCAAAAGAAGCAAGACACACAAAGATACATACACCACAGTCCCTTTTACATAAAAGTCAAAACAAAGTTGAACTAAGATATTTTGTAGACTGAATAATAGACTATAGAAACATTATTTAGAAGCAAGAGTAGAGTGTCCCCTGAAAACCCAAATATTGATAAGCTTTGGTGAGAGTATGAGAGGATATGATTTGGACTTTTGAATGTTGGTTAGGTTTTATTTCCTGATGTGCATAGTGATTATATAATTGTTCACTTTGTATTTATTAACTACATTGTACTCTGTTATAGTTTGCATGATACAAAAAACTAAGCAAAGAGAGCAGCATGTTAATTTGTCAAAGATTTGCTATAAAATAGAGGAAAAAGAATTGACTGGTAGCTCAATTTGGACATTGGATATGAAGAGATCCTATTGTGCCCATCCATTTTTTTAAGGACATACTTAATTATATTTGCATGCTACATAAAATGGCCATGTTGCTTGGACAAAAGGATTCAGATAGGGGAAAGGGAGTGATTGCTACAGCTCAACTCCTGAGAAGGTGAGAGTGGATGGCATCAGGAAGAACAGTGAAGCAGGTATTTTGATAAGATTGAGAAGCTCTTTATTAATGGACAAAAGAATGAGATAATTTTGGATAGGTGAGAGGTTATAAATATGCTGGTAAGAATTAGAAATTTTCCTTAGTGGAAAGGATTAATTAGCCTCTTCCTTAAGATGACCCTAGAAAAAGTGAGATCAACTTGTCCTATTTGTAGTTAGAAGCAACTTCCCTTGCCCCAGGACCACACTCACCATGGTTCTGTCCTGCAAGTTGATTCATGAGGTAGGATTTCCCCGTACGATATGTCCCCACAATGGCCACCACCACCACAGGTTGACATATCTTGTCAAGAATCCTCAAGGCTTCTGAATTCACTGTCAGCTGCTCATTCCAGTTTTCCACTAAACAAATGGGGGACTTCATGGTAGATTCAGATGCCATGGTCACCTGTAACTCAGAAAAGCCACTCAGTGAATCCCAGGATCTTGACATCATCTCTGATAGCTATTGACATGCACTTTCATGTCAATTCTCTGCTTGTGGAATGTTTATATTAACTTTCTAAATTTTGTATGTTTTTAAAAGAAAAATACACTATCTAGCATGTCAAGTTCTGGTATAAATGACTTATATACATTATTTTTTATTTCCAATACAGACTCAAAAAGTGTGGCCTGCCAAGAAAAAGAAATACCAGGGATAAAAATAGGGAGGGAAGAAGTCAAATTATTCCTGCTTGCAGATCATATGATCTTATACCTAGAAGATGCAAAACATTCCACCAAAAGACTGCTAGAGCTAATAAACATATTTGGCAAAGTAGCAGGTTACAAAATTAATATACAGAAATCAATAGATTTCCTATATATAATAATAAATCTGCAGAAGAAGAAATCAGGACAACAATCCCATTTACAATAACCTAAAAAAAATTACTTTGGAGTAAATTTAACCAAGGAAGTAAAATACCTCTATAATGAAAACTATAGAAAACTGAAGAAAGAAATTGAAGAAAACTCAGAAGATAGAGAGAATTCCCATGTTCATGGATCCATAGGCTTAATATTAATTAGAATAATTAGAATTAATTAATTATAAGAATATTGTGAAAATGGCCATACTACCAAAATGATATATGATTCAATGCAAATCCCATTAAAATACCAATGTTATTCCTCATAGAACTAGAAAAAATAGTCCTAAAATTTATTTAGAAGATGAAAAATCCAGAGTAGTCAAAACAATTGTAAGCAAGTGAAAAAATAAAGCAATGCTAGAAGCATCACAATACCTGCTTTAAATTATACTTAGAGATATAATAACAAAAATTGCATGTTAATGGCATAAAAGCAGGTACACAGACCAATGGTACAGAGAAGACACAGAAACAAACACCCACTGATATGGTCATCTTATCCATGACAAATGTCAATACCAAAAACATAAACTAGGGGGGCTGGGGATGTGGCTCAACCAGTAGCGCCTGGCATGTGTGCGGCCCAGGTTTGATCCTCAGCACCACATACAAGAAAAGATATTGTGTCCACCAGAAAGTAAAAATAAATATTAAAAAAAAACATAAACTGGGAAAAAAGACAGCCTTTTTAACAAACGATGCTGAGGTAACTGATTATCCACATGTAGAAGAATGAAACAAGACCCTTTCCTCTCATATTGCACAAACATCAACTGAAAATGCACCAAAGAACTAAGAATTAGACCCAAAACTGTAACTCCTATAAGAAAACATAAGATCAACATTTCAGCATACAGGCACAAGCAATGACTTTCTCAATAGGGCCCCTAAAGCTCAGGAAATAAGGCCAAGAGTTAATTAATGGGATGATATAAATTAAAAGTCTCTGACCACAAAAGGAAACAATTAAGAATGTGAAGAAAGAACCTACAGAGTGGGAAAAAAATCTTTCCTAGCTAATCTTCCAACAGAAGATTAATATCCAAAATATATACACTGAAAAACAAACAAAAAAACCTAACTAATGAATGGGCAAATCATCCAAACAGAGGCTTCTAAAAAGAAGAAATATAAATGGCTAATGAATACATGAAAACGTGGTCAATATAGTTTTTAATTAGGGAAATGCAATTTGAAATCTCAAAGCTACACTGAGATTTCATCTCATACCAGTCAGAATGGGCAGTCATCAAGAACACAAATGCTAATAAATACAGGAGAGGGTGTGAAAAGAAAGGAACACTTTTACACTGTTGGTGGGAAGGTAAATTAGTACAATCACTTTGGAAATCAGTATTGAGGTTCCTCAAAAGACTAGTCATAGAACCACTATATGAGCTAACTATACCACTTCTTGGTATTTACCCTGAAGAATTAAAGTCAACATACTGTAGTGATACACCCATAACCATGTTTATAGCAGCACAGTTCATGATCCCAAACTATGAAACTAGCCTGGGTAACCATAAACAAATGAACGAATAAAGAGAGTGTGATATATATGTACACTGGAGATACATTCAGTCATTTAAAAAAATGAATCATGTCATTTGCAGGAAAATAAATAGAACATGAGACCATTATGTTCAGCAAAATAAGTCTAACTGAGGAGATTAAGAGGAGTGCTAGGGAGTTAAATTGACCAAATTATATTATATATTATGTGTATGTACAAATATTTAATAATAAATATCATCATTATGTACCACTATAATGCACCAATTTAAAAAATATGGAGTGAGGTCTGGGGTTGTAGCTCAGAGATAGAGCGCTCACCTAGCACGCGTGAGGCACTGGGTTCGATCCTGAGCACCATATAAAAATAAAATAAAGGTATTGTGTCCACCTACAACTTAAAAGATAAATAGTTTTTTAAAATGTGGAGAGAGTACTAGAAGCATTGCCTGAGATTTTTCAGAAGAGATTGAGGAAAGCAAAGCACTGATGTCAGAGCCCTGAGAATATGAATATTTTTAGGTAAG